GCTGAGGCTGGTTTTAAACTTGTGATTCTCCTGCCTCAGCCTCTTGAGCCATTGGGATTACAGGCGTGCAACACTGCACTCAGCAAATGTATTGTTTTTGACCTTATATTGTCATCTTATTTTGTAGCGAGAGAGATATTATCCATTTATCTGTGCTGTTTTTCTTTTATCTCCATTTGGCCTATATTCTGAGATAAATAATTCTCTGTTAGACTTACATGGAGCCATGGAGTTGACTTTTTATGAGCAAATAAATGTTTTAAGCATGAGGTAACATAGTAGGAAGGAAACTAAACAAGCAGAGAAGCCTAAGTTCCATTCAAGTACTCAGTTTGCACTTAAACAGCTATTTATTCTTAGATATGTTGCTTACTCAATAGGTGTTATTTCAATATTTCTTTAACATAAAGGATTTGAATGAGAAGATTTCAAAGTTCAAAAAATACATATAATGTGAATTAAAAAAATTTTTTTAGTTGTAGATGGACACAATATTTTTATTTATTTATCTTTATATAGTGCTGAGGATTGAACCCAGTGCCTCACACTTGCAAGGCAAGCACTCTATCACTGAGCTACAACCCAGCCCTAGCATGAATTTTTTTGAACAACAATTTCAAATGTCCTGTGACTTTATATCTGTAAGTTAAAAAAAAAATGTCTGAACTCCCAGTTTTTGAGACTCTTCACACCTGGAAGTATTGTAGAAACTCTTTATTAAACCATGTAATTGGTTTAGAATTTGGAAAATATAGTCCTACTGTATTAAAATTATGTGATTCTAAGATACATCTAAATTAACATCACATTTCACATCTACTATGTCACTTCTTTCTAAAGCTTCTTGACCACTTGAACATTTATTTGCTTTTTCTAAAGTATCTTCAAAATTATGTAATTATTTTTTTTCTAAAGTTCATATAAATTATGTCACGATGTCATTTGTTTAGAACAGCAGGATTGAATGCTTGCTGTGTATTGTACCCATGATAGAACTTTAAATACAGTACTAAGATGGAAGGGTACAAAAATGAAATAGTGGGGAAAAAATTTTGTTAGAAAAAAATGGAAAATTATTTGTGAGATTTAGTTATAATTTTCCAGAGATTTGCCTTTATTTTCTCTGTGTTCCAGGTCTTGCCTGAAATATAGAAGTCCCTTTCTTCCCCTTCTTTTCTGATGCTGTCAGTGGTGTTGATCACCTCTGAGGAAGAAAAGCCCCTTCCCACTGATTATGGAGAACATTCAGCATCTCTTCTTGATTGTGAAAAGGACAGTATTGGGATGGATCATGAAATGCTTCTAAAGTAGACAAGAGTTAACTCTCTTAAATTTTTTGTAAAATAAGCATGTTACTACCAAGGTAGCTTATCCAGTGGAATCAACTATGTGATGGAATCACATTATTTACACATTAAATAATAGAGATTCACTGTACAAAAAAAAAAATCTAGAAAGTACTAGTAAGATAGAAAAACGTTAATTTAAGTAGCACATGTTCAACCTTCTTTTTCAGCTAAGTCCCAGAGCAAGTAAAATTTGAAATTATCAGTTCCAACTGGTAAAAGCTACAGAAATAATGTCAGAATGATTTTAAAGATTTCCTAGTCATTGATAAAGGATGTTCAGGTAGGCAGGTGGGTGGGAAATTTGATGTTTACAGAGGTTGTCAAAAGTTGTTGAGAAGCTACATTTAAGAATTAGAGGTGGTCTGGGGTTTTAGCTCAGCAGTAGTGCACTCACCTCACATGTGCGAGACCCTGGGTTTGATCCTCAGCACCACATAAAAATAAATACATAAAATAAAAGTATTATGTTCAACTACAACTAAAAAAATATTAAAAAAAAAAAAAAAGAATTAGTGGAACTAGAGCTGGGGATGTAGCTCAGTGGTAGAGTGCTTGCCTAGCACTGGGTTCAGTCCCCAATAGCACAAAGAAAAAAGGAACAACAAGAACAACACTGACAAAAAAAGAATTAGAGGAACTAGCTGGGTATGGTTGCACATACCTGTAATCCTGGCTCCTTGGGAGGCTGAAGCAAGAGAATCACAAGATTAAGACCAGCTTCCGTAACTAAGTAGGAGCCTGTTTTTTTTTTTTGTTTTTTAAGAAAAATAAATTTTTAATAAAATAAATAAAGCTTGGGATGTAGCTCAGTGATACAGTACTTGCCTAGAATGTGCAAAGTCCTAGGTTCAGTGTCTAATACTGCAAGAAAAAAAAAATTGGAACTAGTCAGATATAGAAGCATGTACCTATAGTCCCAGCTGTTTGGGATGCTGAGGTAGGAGGATCACCTGAGTCCAAATTAGTCCCCTTTCTAATTTTAAAAAAGAACTAGAGGAACTGACAAAATCCCTTATAAAGAATGATATGATAGGGTCTGGGGTTGTGACTCAGTGGTAGAGCGCTTGCCTAGCACATGCAAGATGCTAGGTTCAATCCTCAGCACCATGTAAAAATAAATAAAGGTATTAAAAAATGATAAAAACAGGTCAAATTTTTTTCTATATTTTTTATTGGTACATTGTAATTACACATAATAGTGGAATATTTGTACATGCACATGGATATAACAATATAATCTCATCAGTATCATTCCCCAGTTTTTCCCCTTTTTTCTACCTTCTTTTCTACCCCTGGTCTCTTCTGGTTTTCCTTCTGTTTTAATGAGACTCCTCCCCCTTTTTTGCCCTTTTTCCTCTAAAGCTTCCACATACAAAAAAAAATGCACAACGCTTGACTTTTGGAGTTTTGCTTATTTCTCTTAATGTTCTCAAGTTCTGTTCATTTTCCTTCAGATAACATAGTTTCATTCTTTTTGACTGAATATGTCATGTGTGTGTATGTATGTTTGTATATCACGTTTTTTAATCCATTCTCTATGGATGGGAACCTAGGCTGGTTCTATAGTTTTTCTTGTTGTTGTTGTTTTGCTGTTGTGAATTGAGCTGCTGTAAACATGGGTATGCATGTATCAATATAGTATGCTGACTTCAGTTCTTTAGGATAAATACTGAGGGGTAGTGTAGCTGGGTCATATGGTGGTTCCCTTTCTAGTCTTTTGAGGAACCTCCATACTAATTTCCATAGTGGTTATATAATTTACAGTCCCACCAACAGTGTAAAAGTGTTCCTTTTCCCCTACAACTTGTCTAGCATTTATTATTATTTGTGTTCTTGATGACTGACATTCTAACTGGAGTGAGATGAACTCTCAGTATAGTTTTGATTTGCATTTCCATAATTGCAGATGATATTGAAGTTTTTTTCATGTATTTATTGGCCATTTGTATTTCTTCTTTTGAGTTGTTTCTGTTTGGTTTATTTACCCATTTATTGATTGAGTTATTTGGGTTTTGGTGTTAAGTTTTTTGAGTTCTTTATATATACTAGGTATTAATCCTCTATCAGAAGAATTTCTTCTTTCCTTTGCTGTGCTGAAGTTTTTTAATTTGATACCACATTTATTAATTCTCAGTATTATTTTCTGAGCTTTAGGAGTCCTATTGAGAAAGACATTGACTATGCCTATATGTTGAGTATTGATCCTACATTTTTTTTCTAGCAGTTGCAAAGTCTTTGCTAAGTTGCTAAGGTTTTGTTGTTGTTGTTTTGTTTTGTTTTAATTTGTTTTTTAGTTGTTGATAGTCATTCATTCATTCATTCATTTATATGCGGTACTGAGAATCAAACCTAGTGCCTCACTCGTGCCAGGCAAGTGCGCTACCAATGAGCCACAGCTACAGCCCTAAGTTACTAATAAGCTTTTGATCCATTTTGATTTGACCTTTGTTCAGAGTGAGAGAGGGTAATCTAGTCTCATTCTTCTACGTATGGATAACTAGTTTTCCCAGCATCATTTATTTAAAAGACTATCTTTTATCCAGTGTATACTTTTGGTACCTTTGTCAAAAATTCAGTGACTGTTTCTCTGTAGGTTTTTCCCTGTGTCTTCTATTCTGTTTCATTAGTCTGTGTGTCTTGTTTTATGCCAGTACCATACTATTATCTGTAGTATAATTTGAAGTTGAGTATTATGATGCCTCCAGCCTTGCTTTTCTTTTCCCTTAGAATTGCTTTGGCTATTTTGAATCTTATTATTCTTCCAAATGAATTTTTCTAGTTCTGTAAAGAATATGATTGGTATTTTGATGGGTATTGCATTGCATTGAATCTATCACTTTTGATAACGTGGCCATTTTAACATTGTTAGTTCTCCCTGTCTGTGAACATGGGAAGTCTTTCTGTCTCCTAGTGTTGTCTTTAACTTCTTTCTTCAGTGTTCTATAATTTTTTATTGTAGCGGTCTTGTCCTTGGTTAGATTTATTCCAAGATTTTCATTTCTCCCATCCCTACTTTTCTTTTTTCTTTTTAGCTATTGTGAATTAGATTTTCTTATAATAATAATAATGAATCTGTTATTATTATATAGGAAAGCTATTGATTTTGTGTCCTGACAAGTGGAAATTTTTCTAAATTTACTAAGCATTCGAAAGAGTGAAATATCTAGTTGATTAAATTTTAGAGTGTTTTTTTTTGTGTGTGTGAGTTTTCAGTAGTTATTTACCATATGCTGTCTCCCCTTTACAGTCTGTCTCCAAAGTAAGATACTGTCTCAATAAGTGGTAATTGCACATAATGTGTTTGATAATGTAAATTGAGTAAGGTAAAGGGTTTCATTAACAAGCCAGTTTTTGGTTGATAATTTTTTTTAATGGTAGTATGAACTTTGTTCTCATAGAAGTCTGAATTGGAAATTCCAGATGCTATAATAAAATGACTATTTCTTTACCATACTAGCAACTTGTATCATCCACATCATTGTACTTTATTGCTAGGATCTTTCTTCATTCGTGTTCACTATAGCTAATCACTACCTTGAGATTGCATACCTGCTAAGTAAAAAAAATCAGAACTGGATAAAATGCTTTTTTAAAAGATATTGTTTTAGTTGTACCTAGCATGTGAAATACATTTTTCCTGTGGTCATGCAGGTGAACATGATTAAAGATGATGGGACAGTTATTCATTTCAACAATCCCAAAGTCCAAGCTTCCCTGTCTGCCAATACCTTCGCAATTACTGGTCATGCAGAAGCCAAACCAATCACAGAAATGCTTCCTGGAATATTAAGTCAGCTTGGTGCTGACAGCTTAACGAGCCTTAGAAAGTTAGCTGAACAGTTCCCACGGCAAGGTAGGTATTTCAGTTTACTTCTTTCACTCTCTACCTTAATTAAGGAACCTAATAATATAAATGGTGTCCCATCTTCAACTGAGAGGATTGGCCTCAGTATGTAATTATTTTACCTTTTATAACATCATTTGTATGCTTCATAAAAGTTTGATTTTGTTTCTTTAATAATAAATGTAATATGGTATATAGAATATTCAGACAGTGTTGTTGATTGCACTATGGTAACCATAAATTCTGTATTTCTAAGGTAATCTAGAGTTCAAATGTGTCTTGTTGCCCCCCCAAAATCAAAGGGCTCTGTAATTTGTATACATACTATGTAGATAGAAACTTACTTTTTAGTAAGTTTTTGGAAGAAATCTTGACTATTAATTTTTATTTTGAGAATATGGCCACTGTGACTGACTGTAATTTATGTTTATTCATATCTGAATTATTCCATTTGAATATAAATTTTATCTTTGCTGCATATAAATGTTGCCAACTGTATTGAGAGTATATCTAAAATAAAGTTTTATTGATTTTAATGTTACTTAAGCAAAAAAAAAAGAAAAGAAATTTTTTTTCCCTCCAGTACTGGGGATTGAACCCCTGTGTACCCCCCAGCCCCTGCCCTAGCCTTCTAGCACTGAGCTTCATCACTAGCCCTTTTTATTTTTTTATTTTTAGACAGGGTCTCACTAAGTTGCTGAGAATACCCTCAAAGTTGCAGTCTTTCTATGTCAGCTTTCTGAGTTGCTTGAATTATGGGCATGCACCACCACACCTAGCATGAATGTATTTTAATCCATTAATGGATTAAGATATATATAAAATCTTTTTCTGAGCAACTATGTGAAATTTAGACTTGAAAAAAAGGATAAATATTACAAGTGTTTTATAAAGATCTTTGTTCTTAATAACTAATATTAAAATAAACTTTTTATAGTGTTGGACAGTAAAGCACCAAAACCAGAAGACATTGATGAAGAGGATGATGATGTTCCAGGTAAGTGGAATTTCTTTGTATTTAAGACATGTAGCATCCTGTTTATTTATTTCACTGACAAGATGACTTTCAAAATTTTATTTATTGTGATCTCTGAATTTAAATTGGTCAGAATGATGTGAATAGATTAGTGAAAAAGAATAAAAACACTCTCTTGTAGAACTTAGAAATTGTCACACAAAGCTCTGCTAACTGAATTTATTAAATTGAAATCACTGTGATTATAAATCTGCATAGTTAATGTGGTAATTATAATTGACATATGAAAACACTACTCACCTTAGTAGTTTGCTAAGACCAAAAAATATATATATATCCTTAAGATTACTGTTTTAAGCAGATAAACGAATCATTATTAGTGAAATGTTCATTTCTGCCTGTTCTATGTTTTCAAACTAATTATAGTTGCAGCAATTTTATTTAGCTTAGAATTCCCCCGCCTTGACTCATTTTTGTTGTTGTTTTTTCCAGATCTCGTAGAAAATTTTGATGAAGCATCAAAGAATGAAGCTAACTAAAATTTGTTTGGCATTTTGAAGCTGGCATGGACTAGATTTATCAAATCAGCTATGTGGTTCCAAAGTTTTACAGACACAGAGAACATCACCTGTTACTAGTTCAGTAATATAAATATTTTGTATATTAATAATGCTGTTTCTTCAGCATTTTTCGGTCATTTGATTTTGCATTTTGCACTTCTTCCCAGGATCTATTCTTTTGGTCAAATATGAAGTATTGGTGCAGTTTGAGGGTGTTTTGGTTTTTACTTCTTGGTTTTTTGTTTTGTTTTGGGGGGGGTATTTTTGGTGTATGTATGTATTATGTATGCGTGTGGGTATGTGTGTATACAGTGGAGAAGAAATTGGAAAACAGTTCTATTTATCCTCTTCCTTCCCCCAGTAGAAATAAAACAAATCTTTACATTCGTTACCTTTTTTTTTTTTTTTCTAATTATGCACAGAATTAATGTAAAGTGAATTCTTTGATTTCAGATCTGAAGAGAGTTTTTTACCATTGGAGATTTGGTTTTAACTTGCTTGGTAAACGATCATATTTTTCATATATTTCTCTGGGTTTAAAATGTTTTTGAGATTTTTTTTGCCACCAGCTTCATGATGGATTAATACTGCATATCTTTGGTGCAACTGCCTTAGATTCACTTACCTAGTCAGACCCAGAAGAATTTCTTTTACCAGCTTTCTGTATAACTGCTTTTTTTCCCCCTCTCCTTTTGCTCTTTAAATGGTCTGTTCGACCTTTGGTAATACTCTTCCTCATCTTGTACCTAGCTTGAGAAGGAGGTTCTCCATGTAGAGTTGAGTGCCTAATCCCTCTTTTTCTAAGGTTTTGTTCCCTCATCTTAAGGAATAACAGCTCTATCTTCACCTTTTTATTCTCCCTCAAATTTACAGTTTGTTAGATTTCAAACTGGAATAGCCAGCATGTGCTTGCTAAATAATTTTTTACTGGCCTTGTCCTGAATCCTAACTGTTCTAATAGCAGGTGTGAGAAAGCTTTTTTTCAGTAAGGTTGAAATGGGAAAGTCCTTTTGAATGAGAAGAAAATAGGCCATGGACTTCATCCCCCAGCACAAATGGGCATTCTGAGATATGGTACAGGCCTGGGGAGGATTCCTTCAACCACTCTCCACTCTTGGCCTTGAACCTACCTCTGGGTTGGATCTTACTGTAGCTGCTCAGAACACCCTCCTGCATGCTTTGAATAATGCTTTGGGGGGAGCACTGATAAAAACAGTAATTATTTATTTTTTTTTACCTCCTTTCAGAGGACTTGGAGGTAAGTTGCATTCATTCGCTCAAGTTTCCCTCTTGCTGTCTGATAAAAGCTTGCATTTTGCATACCAGCATTTGATAGTCAATATTTTAAGATAAGATTTAGAAAATCTGTCATTTCCTGGCCCATCACCAAACTAACTACAGCTTATCCTTGCAGCATACCAATTTTTGTTTCAAGTTGGATATCTTTATTTGATATCTAAAGTGCAAGACCAACAATATATTGAGAGATCAGTAGACGTGAAGGCAAAGCTTTTGTGTTTTTTTTTTTTTAATCTGGACACCTCAATTTATTTTATAAATTTGTTCATTTTTTCCTGTTATGTTTTTATATAATATATGGACTTAACAAAATAAAATAACAGTACAAAGGAGGAGAATATTTCCTCTTGTGCCTCTCTTATTGTTGTCTACAGAATTTTCTTCTTTTGTATTTCTCTTCTACTCCTTACTCCCAAATGAAATATACTCAAGTAGTGCTTGAAATAATGTCTCATCCATTGTTAGGTCAATAGTGATACATGATCTACAGAGTTGAGAATTCTGTTCCTCTTATATTGCCCCAAAGAGGCATGTTGTCGAGCAGAGAGAGTTAGGGGGACCACTTCAAGTGGTTAGGGAGATAAGAAGATAAGCCGTAAAGCAAATGGAGATAGACATCTAGAAGTCAGGGGATTTGTGTACTGGTCCAGACTTGCATTAATTATGTGACCTTGGACAGGTCACTGAAATACTCTGAAATTCATCAGTCAAATGAAATATTTCTAAATGTAAAGTTTCTTCTGCTTCTGCAGTTCTGTGAATCATTGAAAATTCTCTAGGAGGGAATCTGTTCAGACATGTATTCATCAGTACTTATAAAACTATACTTCTTACTCTTTTTTCATTTTGAAATTCTCAATGCCCAAAAATGTTTCTGCTTTCAGAGTATGTAGGCATAGTTGGCCAGGGATGTGGTCCAGTGATAGAACACTTGCCTAGCATGTGTGAGGCACTGGGTTCTGTCCCCGGCACCACATTAAAAATAAACAACAACAACAATATTGTAGGCATAGAACTTAAGAATAAAAGTATGGATGAAACTTTAGTAAATTTTAGGGTTCTTGGCATAAATATGATACACATAGTAGGGAAATTGGCCTTAAATTTTTGGGATAATTTAAGAAATATGTATGTAAAATTGATTCTTTATCTTAATTTTTATGGCTAGTCTTTAAGTTTTTTTGTAAAGCTCATGTATTTTAGGGAAGCTGAAATGAATGGTTGATCCCTTATTTTATCACTATTTTCCATATTAAGCATTGATCTTAAGAATACATCAAGTACTTCAATTTATTGTTAAGTTAACTAATACTTTCGGAATTCTATTAAATTCATTTTAAGAAGCCTACCAGGTTTCTGTGAAAAACCTTTATGTAGGGTCCGATTTGTTTCTTTATTTTAACTCCATGTTTAGACCCGAGTATGTTATAAACCCATAAGTAAGATATTATGCTGAGCACTATGATGCACGCCTGTAATCCCACCAGCTCTAGAGGACGAGACAGGAGGATCACAAGCTCAAAGCCAGCCTCAACAACCTAGTGAGGTCCTCAGCAACTCAGTGAGACCCTGTCTCTAGATAAAATATTTAAAAAGGTCTGTGGATGTGGCTCAATGTTAAGTGCCTAAGTTCAACCCTTGGTACCCCCCCCAAAAAAATATAAGAAAGAAAATGGTATGGCAGGGAAAAGCATAGGTTTAAAGATAGAGATCAGCTTCACTACCTACCTATAGCCTCTTCAATAGGGCTACTGCAATGTACAACTCTTAAAAGCCATCATTCATACTATGTTCAGAGTAACATTTTCATATACTACAATATGAATAATGTGCAGCAGTGACCTTGCTCTTGAGCCTTAGTTTCCTTTGTAAAATGGTACCTAAGATTCAGAGTTGCTTGACTAAGGGGAAGACAAAAGATGATTAAAGTGTGTTACCTTCTAAGCTGTGACAAAAAGTTTTTTCCTGAAGCTTATGGTCATAGGCACAGCAAAGCTACATTCTCAGCCCAACCTGTATTGTTATGCCATATAGAGTTTGCCTGGATTATTATAGTCTCCTTATTAGTCCTGTTTATGATTCACACCTTCTCCCCTACACAGGAGCCCAGCTATCTAATTGATATCTGACCACATCATAGCCTTATATTTACAACATTATATATAGTACAATATTAAGATTATTTTACATTATTTACACTTCTTCATCTAGATCATTAGCATCTTGGCAAATGTTGAGTCAAACAATTTTTATCCCCAGCATTCAGCATAGTGCCCAACATAGAGTCTACTCAAAATCATAATAATTAACACTGTTGACTACTTACTATTGATACAAAATTATTTAATTCTCAAACCCAGTGGGCAGATATTATTTTCCCAATTTTAAAAAGCGTCAGAAATGGTTTAGGGAAGTTGCCAAAGGTTAGAACAACTATCTGTGGGATAACTAGGATTCTAATCTAAAGCCATCAAATTAGAGTCTAAATTCTTGGTATCTTCCCCCATTCTGTTCAACAACAACAACAAAATTTCTATAGTTGTAGATAGACAGCATGCCTTTATTTTATTTGTTTATTTTTATGTGGTACTGAGGACTGAACCCAGTGCCTCACATGTACTAGGCAAGCGCTCTATAACTGAGCTATAGTCCCAGCCCCTTTTTTTAGTTTTTAATTTTTATTTATGCAGTGCTTGGAATCAAGCCCAGGGCCCTATGCATGCTGGGTAAGAGTTCTACCACTGAGCTACCCCCAGCCTAACGAATATGTATTGAAATAAAAATTATGTGAACATAGCCTTTACTCAAACATCCTCATCGAATTAAATTGGCCACAGCTGGCTGTGGAGGTGGATACTGTAATCCCAGAACACTCCTGGATTTAATAAAGTTAAATATTTTATTAACTTTATAAAGTTAATAATTTGATTTTTTTTTTTTTGGTATATCTTCAAGAGGATACCCACCCCCACAGGTACTGGAGATCAAACCTAGGGTCTCATGAATACCAAGTATGTGCTCTATTGCACAGGATTTCTGATGACAGTATTGGGAAAAAATCTTATAGTTTCCATGATTTGATCTTGACACTTTTTTTTTGTAAAATTTTTCCATCTTTTAGGTATTCCTTGTCAGAAGTTCCATAAACTGGAACAAGTTAGTGATGAATTTGTCCAGAAGCCACAATTTTTCTCTATTTAAGAATCAAAGTACTCTCACAAAAACTCTTAGACTAGTAAATTCAACCAAGTTACTGATACAAAATCAATCTGTAAAAATCAGTTGCACAGGGCTGGGGATATATTTCAGTTGGTAGAGTGCTTGCCTTGCATGTACAAGGCCCTGGGTTCAATCCCCAGCACCACACACACACACACACACCAGGAAAAAAAAATCAGTTGCACTTCTTATATGCTAACAATAAACAATCCAAATAGGAAACAATTCCATTTACAGTAGCATCAAAATAAATAAAACATAGAAATAACCAAGGAGGCAAAAGACTTGTACACTGAAGATTACACAACATTGCTGAAAAAAAATAAAGTCAGACAAATGAAATGACATCTGTGTTCATGGATTGGAAAACTTAATAGTGTTAATTTGTCGATACTACCCATGATGATTTACAGATTCAAAGCAACTATCAAAATTCCAATGATGTTTTTTGCATAAATAGAAAAAAAACACCCCAAAATTAAGATGGAATCTCAAGAGAACCAGAATAGCCAAAATAGTTGAAAAAGAACAAAGCTGGGAGGGCACATTTCTTGATTTCAGAACTTATTACTTAATTCAAAGCAGCAGCACTCAAAACAACATAGCACTTGCATAGAGACATGTAGCACGATGAAATAACAAAGAACCCAGAAACAAACCCTCACATATGTGGTCAAATGATTTTTAACAATGCCATAACAATGCAATAGGTTAGATAGTCTTTTCCCAATATCTATACTAGGAAATTATATACTGGGAAAACTGAATATCCACATGCAAAAGGATGAAGTCATATTGTTTACTTAAACCAACACATAATTAAATGGATCAAAGACCTAAATGTAAGAGCTTAAACCTAAGTCTTGGAAGAAAACAAGAAAGCTTCATGACTTGAATTTAGAAATGAATGCTTGGATACTATACCAAAAGTACAGGCAACAACAAAAAAGATAAACTGGATTATACCAAAATTAAAATTTTGTACCTCAAAGAACACTATCCGAGGACAGATGGCACATGCCTGTAATCCCAACTATTCAGGAGATTGAGGCAGGAGGGTTGCCAGTTCAAGGCTAGCCCAGGCAATTCAGTGAGACTAGATCTCAAAATGAAAAAAAAAAAAATGGACTGGGGATGTAGCTCAGTGGTAAAGTGCCCCTCACTCAATCCCTAATACCAAAATCGAGAGAAAACATCCCACAGACTGGGAGAAAATATTTACAAATATTTTGTATACAAGGCATGAATATTCAGAACATATTAAGATCTACAACTCAACATCACAAGACCCAATTTAAAAATGGATAAAGGATTTGAATAGAAATGTCTCCAAAGAAGATGTACAAATAGCCAATAGCTATCACTAATCATTAGGGAAGTGCAAATCAAAACCACAATAAGGACCGGGCACAGTGGCACAAGCCTGTAATCCCAGTGGAACAGGAGGATGGCAAGTTCAAAGTCAGCCTCAGAAACAGTAAGGCCCTCAGCAATTCAGTGAGACCCTGTCTCTAAATAAAATACGAAAGAAAAAAAAAAAGAGGCTGAGGATGTAGCTCAGTGGTTAAGTGCCCCTACATTCAATCCCTAGTACCAAACAAAATAAACACCACAATAAGCACTTCACACCTATTAGGGGATTCTTTTTTTATTTTTATTTTTTTACTTGATAGAACTTTATTTATTTATATGCAGTGCTAAGAATCAAACCCAGTGCCTCAACACATGCTAGGCAAGCACTCCACCACTGAGCTACAACCCCAGCCTCCTATTAGGAGATTCTTTAAAAAATTATAGTTTTGATAAGGATATAGAGAAAGATGAATGTTTGTATCATCTAGTGGGATATAAAATTACACAACCACTGTGGAAGACAGTATGGAGGTTCCTCAAAAATTAAATGTACCATATGGTACAGCAATTCCACTTCTGGGTATACATCCAGAAGAACTGAAAGCAAGAATTTGAACAAGTATTTGCACACAGCAAATATTCATAGCAGCACTATTCACAATAACACTACTCATAAAAGGTATAAGCAGGCGCTGGGGTTATGGCTCAGTGGTAGAGTGCTTGTCTAGCATATGTGAGGTACTATGTTCAATTCTGAGCACCGCATATAAATAAATGAATAAAATAAAA